TTCATGTGAACCGTCCGGCTTCGTTTTCGTGGAGCTATTGTGTGTGTTTGGACTTTAGATAAGGCGGAAGGGTACAAAAACGAGAGATAGGGAGAGAGACCAGCTGAAAACCCCCATCTTCGAAGACAAAAAAAGAAAAATGATCAGGACTGTTTTTATTCGGGATTGGGGAGGGGAAGCGGCGGAAGGGCGGTGTGTGTGTGGTGTGTGTGTGGTGTTTGGGAGAGGTTTGGGAAAATGGCTCAGGATACATGTTGTCTGCGGGGGAAGTGAGCGTGTGGGAGGGGCTCGGGATGAATGGGCCGAGGGGAGAAAGCCAAGTGAAACGCGCCTGGTGTACACATCCGTCTGGCGATGTCGGGGAACCGGGCCACGAACCCCAAGATGGATGGCCGGCCTGTTTGATACTTTCCTTTGCGCTTGACTCTTCGCGCTCGTTGCCCTGCTTCGCAGCTTGAGTGGTACGTTCTCTCTCTCTCTCTTTTTCGGCGTCTTTTTCCGTTTATTGCGTTTTGTGCTACTGCTTTGCTCCAACTTTGTCCTTGATTCATTTCATTCCGATGTAGAGCCATCTGCATTGGTCGAGATGCAATTCTCGTCCTCAGGTTATCTCTTCAATTTTCCTTTTAGGCGAAGTCGGAAATCGGAGGCGTTTGACCCTCCCTTCCTTAACCTGATCGCGTAGTTCCTATCGTGGACATGTGTGAATAACATGTATATATATTAATGGTGAGATCTTGACACTTGTGACTTCGCTACGTTTGGTATGATTCGATGATTCCTCGCTCCATCGTCCATGTCGGGAGAACTTGTTAACGAAGTCACTCGCCTGCCCTTGCGAAATGACCAAAGGCAACAAAATGACAGGGGCAATTTTTTTCTTTTTTTTTAAATTTCGTTTAGACAATTTGGTCACTCGTTCATGACACGCGTGTACGAGTTACCATTTGCAAAGAAATATCGATGCGTATGCTCCGTCTTGGTGATTTTACTCCGGACGCCCTCCGTGGTAACCTTGCTTAAGCGCCGATAAAAGGCTTGCAGCGCCGCTTTGCCCTTTACTGTGCCGCTTAGATCCGCACTCGCCGTTGGGCGATGAAGCTGTTTCTTCTTTTCTTTCTTCCTGATGCTCCCGTTGTAGCCATCGAACAAAAAGGCACTCATTTTTTTCGTTTGTCGTTGTGCTCTCGGCTTTCGCTTGGCCCTCGTGTTCCTGGGTTGATTGGAATTAATTGCAGCTTCGATCTGACGTGTTCGTTGTCCTGGAGATTGGTTTAGAGGGGGAAGGGAATGCTGCACGAACGGTTGAAGCGGTAAGAAAAGGGAAACAAAAAAATACGCCATCTGCCATTGACTTTTTTGTTTTTTCTTTCCGCGTGTGTTTGTCTTTCCTTAATTTCTCTCGGACGGGTTTTATTGCCCTTTATGGCGCGATCTAGGTAGTATACGAGGGAAATTTCCCTCTATCTCTGGTCTTTTGTTTTGGAGATTAAATTACCTTCCCATTGGTTAGCTCTTTTCTCTTTTTAATGGAGTGCTTCCTGACGTAGAGTTATCGGGTGGTCTCTCTATTTTTATTTTTTTAATATGGAGGTTTAATAGCGTGTACCAGCTCACGAATCCCAGAGGATTCTTTAGGGAAAAGTGCTGTCTTCATAGAAAGCGAAAACCGTAATTCAATTTTTGATAGAGAAAAAAAAAATTGGCTTTTCGCTTTGTGCCCAACTACGTGGGAAAAAATCGTGACCTAACAATTCAGGAACGTTTGCCCACCAGCAAACATTTAAGGTAGAAGCAGGTGAGGACAAACTGGATTGGAGGCTATTTTAAACGCTTTCCTTTAAAAGATGGGCGAAAGTCCGTTTTTGTAATCAATGGTGAAGCTCGGGCGGCCTTCCTTCTTGCCACAGATACTTGCTATGCTTTTTTGTGACCCCTTTGCCTTCATATGATAAAACGTCATTCTGTGCTACTTTTCATCGGATGCGACTTCATTAAATCGCGCGCGCATCTCTTCTGGAGTGAACAGAATAATTGTCCGTACGGCATATCCTCGTAAGCAAAGTGCGAAGTTCTAAAAGTTCCTTTTTTTTTTTTTTATGCTGCCTTAGCGAACGTTTGTTTCCTCGTTGGTCTTGCATTCTTGCTCGCGTGACTTTCACGAGGCACCGGTGAAACGATGATCTCGTTCAGTGAACGGAGTGAGATGCCTGCAGTGTTGCATACTCCCGAGCTGATAACACCCCTCTTGGTCGATCTTGCGACCAAAAAAGACGAGATATGGCGTCTGAATGCCAAGTAATAATATCTGAAACTGCAATGACGACGCCGTATAGCATTCCTACTGCAAATATTTATGTCGCAATGTAGTCGCGGAAGGTGCCCGGCTTCTCAGCAGCGAGTTCTGCGTTTTAGAGCGCAGCTCTTAGGGGCCCGTTCCCGGCTTGAGCGGCGTCGCCGTCGGCGTCGGCGTCGCCGTCGCCGTCGGCGTAACCAAGGTCATCCCAAGGTCACGTGACCCCCAAGGTCACGTGACCCCTCCCAAGGTCATCTCAAGGTCACGTGACCCCACGTGACCCCCTGAAGGTCACGTGACCCCTCGAGGTCACGTGACCCCTTCCAAGGTCATCTCAAGGTCACGTGACACCAAGATGACCCCACGTGACCCTTTGAAGGTCACGTGACCCCCAAGTCACGTGACCCTTCTGAGGTCACGTGACCCCCGAGGTCACGTGGTCGCCTCCCCAAGGTCACGTGACCCCCAAGGTCACGTGACCCCCGAGGTCACGTGACCCCCAAGGTCACGTGTCCCCTTCCAAGGTCATCTCAAGGTCACGTGACCCCACGTGACCCCCAGGTCACGTGACCCCTCTGAGGTCACGTGACCCCCCGAGGTCACGTGACCCCTCCAGGTCACGTGACCCCCAAGGTCACGTGGGGGTCACCTTTGGGGTCACGTGGCCTTGAGGTCACCCCCAGGTCACGCCTCCCCGAGGTCACGTGACCCCCTCCCCGAAGTCACGTGACACCCCCCCCCCCGGAGCATATTAAAGAATGAGGGGAGGAGGAGGAGAAGGGGGAGGGGTCTACCCTCCCCTCAGTACCCTTCACTCCTCCTCCTCAAGAGCTGCGCTCCAATTCGGCGTTACAGGGATTTGTAAACGGCTTTCCCTTTTTTTTTATTTATTTTTTCGACTTCGGTCTACATTTCTTTTATCTAAAACAATTGTTTTGTTACTAATTATGTTATAGCTTATATGGCCATCTTTATACCATATTTATACACATAGAAATTTACCTGTTTCTTCTTCTTTTTTTTTTTTTAATGCAGTATTTCTATTTAATTAAAACTCGAAAATGGCAAGCTGTCGAGGCGAAGTACTTCAGTGACTAAAGCTGGCGAACGAGCATTTTCGTGTACTCTTGTCCCCACTCACCTAATAGGCGTATCCGGTATGAAGGACGAAAAAATAATAAAACGTTTCAGCCTATAACTAGTAAAAAAAAAACTTAGAGGGGAGGCAAAACGAGAATGTGTGGCGGTTACGCTTATGTCCTTAATATCTTTATTGACGTGGCGACGACAAAACGATGTTTTCGCCCATACTGAAAGTGACGACAATTGAAGATGCGGCGCCCTTGTAAAAAGGATCGATACGTCATGTACTCGTTAAATTCTGGTTGCACTGCTTTATCCTCGTCATTGGTTGAAGCTAGGAAGTTTCGAACAATGCAAATATGCCAAACCCCATCTCAAATGACAGCGAACTTGGCACAGAAAGCCGATCACGAAAGGGAACAAAACCTTAATCCCCAAAAAACTTAATGTTGAACCCTCTTCCCCAGCGGCATTCCTAATGCGATTCCGAGGAAAGCTGACAACTCGATAATGAAGTGCGTCGCTGTCACATGACAACGATTACAGCAACACCCCCCCCCCCCCCCCCAAAAAAAAAAAAATCGCTAATTAGCATTGTTATAGTCGGCTTTTTGTGTTAAAAAAAAAATGGAAAGTAAATTCGGCATACGTTTATCGGTCTTTATCGGTTTTAAATAATTCGAACCGAAACCGAAAACACCAAACCGTGCTACAACTTCTTTTTCTTCGGATGATCCACGGAGTGCTTGTCGGCCTGACAGATCAAACCGTTTTTGTTTTACTCGTCGTTGAAACTTTTTGTCGCGTTAGGCGCGGACGGCGCTTGAAGTTTGTTTGTGCCTGGAATCCGAGCGCCCCTTGGAAATGGGCCGAGCGCCAAGAGCGAAACCGGTGCGTCGATGGACGTTTCCTGGAGTGGCCTGGACGACGTCCTCCCGTGGCGCTCTGATGGATGAGGCCCGCCGGGTCCGCGGCCACCTCTGGATTTGACACTCCCTTCCGGCTCTCTAGGCGGTTTCTCTCTGCGTCTGGATTCCGCCGGGCTTCGCCCAAGGCTCCGAAGAGAGCGAGATAGAACTGGCGCCATTTGTCGACCCCTTCGGACTCGTTGATCGACTCGCTTCGTCGTCAGTTATCTTGGGAGTCGGAAGGAAGCCCGGCTGCTTTTCCCGTGTCGTTTTCGCCCAAGAGGACAGGATTGAACAAGGCAAATGTTGATTCGAGCGTTTTTTTTTTTTTTTTTTTTTTTTTTTTTTTTTAAGTGTGGGGCAGGTTTCTTCGATACTTTCGTGATGCTTGAAGCGAAACTGAAAGTAGTCGGGGCTCTCCCCAACATAGGTTCTGGCTTTCTTGTCCGAATGTCTTTAGTTGTCTACTAGTGCGTGGCAGTTCTTCGTGTTTACTTCGTTAAAAGTGTACGCTCTCACCTCTGTGAGGGTTATCTACTGACCAGTGGAAGCAAAACCACTGTGGCTTTCCTTGTGCCTAAACCTTTGTCACAATCCCCCCGTCTTGTTTTTT